CTGGCGGTGCGCACCTTCGTGCTGCCCTACGACCCGGTGGTGGTGCGCGAGGCGATCCTGCGCGAGTACCACCGCGGCGGCCAGAGCTTCTACGTCTGCCCGCGGGTCGAGGACCTGGAGGAGCTGGAGGAACGGCTCGCCAAGCTGGTGCCGGAGGTCAAGGTCGCGGTCGCGCATGGGCGCATGGCGCCGAGCCGGCTGGAAGAGACCATGACCGCCTTCATCGACCGCAAGTACGACGTGCTGCTGTCGACCAACATCGTGGAATCCGGCCTCGACATCCCGACCGCGAACACCATGGTGATCCACCGCGCCGACATGTTCGGGCTGGCCCAGCTCTACCAGCTTCGCGGCCGGATCGGGCGCGGCAAGCAGCGCGGCTATGCCTACCTGACCCTGCCGCCGGGGCGCATTCTCTCCAGCTCGGCCGAAAAGCGTCTGCACGTCATGCAGACGCTGGACACCCTGGGCGCCGGCTTCACCCTGGCCAGCCACGACATGGACATCCGCGGCGCCGGCAACCTGNNAGCAGATGCTGGAGGAGGCGGTGGCGGCGGCGCGCGAGCGCAGCGGCGACGGCGCGGGCGAAGCGCAGGCGGGCGGGGAGACCTGGACGCCGCAGATCAACCTGGGCACCGCGGTGCTGATCCCCGAGAGCTACGTGCGCGACCTGCACGTCCGCCTGGGGCTCTACCGGCGTCTCTCGCAGCTCGTCGACAAGGCCGAGATCGACGCCTTCGCGGCCGAGCTGGTCGACCGCTTCGGACCGCTGCCGGAAGAGGTGCAGAACCTGCTCGACGTGATCGCCATCAAGCGACTGTGCCGCGATGCCGGGGTCGAGAAGGTGGACGCCGGGCCGAAGGGAGCGGTGGTCGCCTTCCGTGGCGACGAGTTCCCCAATCCGCAGGGGCTGGTGCGGTTCATCCAGGCCCAGGCCGGCACGGTGAAGCTGCGGCCCGACCACAAGCTGGTCTACAAGCGGGCCTGGGAGTCGCCGGCCCAGCGGATGCGCGGCGTGCGCCGTCTGCTCGAGGCGCTGGGCAAGGCGGCGGCCAGCAAGGCGGCCTGAGCCGCGGCCGCCCCCTTGCCGGCTGCGGGGGAGGCGGCCGCCTCAGCCGGCGTTGTCTGCCGCGGTTAGCCCGGGGAGGTCGTTGCCGAGCTGGGCGAGCTCGCCGCTGACGTCCGGCGACCAGCGATTGATCACCGCCTGGATGTGGCCGACCATGGCCTGGGCTGCGGCCTCCGGATCGCCGCCGCCGACCGCGGCGAGCAGCTCGCGGTGCTGCACCGAGCCGCGCTTGAAGCCGGGCTCGTCCACCCGCAAGGGCTCCTTGCCGGCGCCGAAGGTGTGGCGGTGGATGTGCAGCATGCAGCGCAAAAGGATCGGCTCCAGCGCGCCCAGGCCGGCGGCGCGGAAGATGGTCAGGTGGAAGGCGCGGTCAAGCTCGGCCAGGGCGTAGGCATCGCCGACCGACTCCGCCTCGGCCATGCGCTGCACCACCTCCTCCAGCGCTGTCCGTTCCGCCGGGCCGAGATGCGGGACCGCCCGGCGCACCCCGTCGACTTCCAGAGCCAGGCGGATGCGCGCCATCTGGGCGGCCTCCTCCGGCGTGGTGGTCGACACGAAGGTGCCCTGGTAGCCGTGCCGGCTGACCAGTCCCTCCTGCTGCAGGCGCAGCAGCGCCTCGCGCACCGTGCCCTGACTGCAGTTCATCGCGCCGGCGATCTGCTGTTCGAGCAGCGCCTCGCCGGCGCCGATCGCGTTCAGCAGGATGGCCCGGCGGACCGCATGGTACACCGCCTCGCCCTTGCTGCGCGGCGGCACCGCGGCCCCGGTCTGACCCAGGATCTGGCCCCAGCGCAGCGCGTGGTTCGACATGGTTGACAGCCCCGTTGTCCTCGCCGCAGGATTAATATCGATAATGATATTCTCTCCGCTTCGGTCAAGCAATCCGGTGCCCTCAATGCGCCGGGGCGGCCAAGCCACCCTCCGAACGCATGGGTGTGTAATGCGCGTTATCCTGGCAGCCTGCGCTGTCGTCATCGGAACGGCGGCGCGATGAGCGCCGCGCTGCTCGAGGTCGACGACCTGGTCGTCGAGTTCAAGACGGCCGCCGGTTGGGTGCGCGCCGTCGACCGCGTGTCCTGGGACGTGGCGCCGGGCGAGATTCACGCCGTGGTGGGGGAGTCCGGCTCCGGCAAGTCGGTCACCGCCCTGTCCATCCTGCGCCTGCTGCCGACGCCGCCGGCGCGCATCGCCCAGGGCGCCATCCGCTTTGACGGCGCCGACCTGCTCAAGGTCGACGAGGCGGCGATCCGCGAGATCCGCGGCGGGCGCATCGGCATGGTTTTTCAGGAGCCGATGACCAGCCTCAACCCGGTGCTCTCGATCGGCCGCCAGCTCACCGAGGGCATTCGCGCCCACCTCGGCCTCGACCGCCGCGCCGCCCGTGCCCGCGCCATAGAGCTGCTGGAGCTGGTCGGCATCTCCGAGCCGGAGCGGCGGCTCAAGCAGTACCCGCACCACCTGTCCGGCGGCATGCGCCAGCGGGT